CATGGTGCAAATATCCATAATTTCTCTGAATTTTAATAAATTAATATGTTTTTAATAAATATTATATATAATATTCACAATATTCAAGCAATGAAAAAAAAAAACAGGCATACTTACATTTATTATATCTATTAATTAAAAGAAAACGAAAAGAAAGGAATGGGAAAATTACTTTAAATTATTTTTATTTGTATATGATCTACTAAATAAACAAATAAACAAATAATAATTTTTTTTAGGATGCTTGAGAGATAACGCAGATTAATTTAAAAAAATTTATAATTATTTTACGATTATTATATTTATTAATCGGTCATCAACATACAATATCATTAATATTGTATTCGGTACCACACTGGTACCACGTTCCTCAAAATTGTAATACATCTAGATGCGTAACACCATTATGAAATGACTGAGACGTACTTGGATTCATTTTGAAAATCAACTTTATATGATTTCCTATTTCTCGTATTTCCCGTCTATTTAAGTTTTGCTAAATTAATTCAATTAAAAGGAATAATTAAATAATAGTGTAGAATAAGTAAGAACATTCTTTGTGTTAATCCCAGGTTCGTATCTCTAGATTACACAGATATTATAAATAAAAAATTATGTATGGAAATGGACGGGATTTATTAAATCCCAATTCCCGTTTATAATAATACAAAACCGGCGATCCCGTCTGGCAAATCCCGACGCTCATTATCTTTTTTCTTTTTAATTACTTTTTTTTTTGAATTTTGTAGTACTTGGCAATCATTAATATTTTTATAGATACATAAAGATATTTAGCAATTTTTATTCTGAGTTTATTAGTTGGAAAGTTTATTATTATTTTTTTTTTTTTAAAAAAAAAAATTGTTTTATATTAAATAAAAATATTTATTCATTTTTTTAAATTTTTGTATTCATGTAAAGAGATAATAAATGTCGGTGTCAGGAATTATTCGTTAATTATTACAGATACCAAATTTGAGTATATAAAGTTTATAAATCAACATAACATTAAATTAGATTTATTTTATGAATAATAATAGAAATTCTTAAATAATGTCTTTTTAAATTATTTATTTTTTTATTTTACACTATGTTTAACTGCGGAGTTATGTCTGACACCTTTCTAAGCGGTGTTGAATTTGGACAATGTCCAATTGAACAAATGACTCGACACTGTTTTTAAGTATGCTACCAATATTTGAGAGCTTGATTATTTTCATAATGGAATAATATTTATCCCCGCTATATAAATAAAATCTCTTGAAATATTTCATGGAAAGAAAGTCTTAATTTTACACGGTTACTTCAATTCGTACACAATTAAATCAAGCGAAGTTTTATGTTTTTATTTACTTCGTTTCGATATATATATATATATATATGATACAAAGCCAATTAATCAACTTCTGTTCACATGTTATCTTTTATAATCAAATACAAAACAACGCAGTATATTTTTTTAAGTTACATCTCAGTATAAATCATTTGTAATGATGATCGCATGTTTTTTTAATATAAACTTTATTAGTATTATGACAATTATTAAACATAGTTTATCATAATATAACATCAAAAAGATTCTGTCGGTAATGCTATATCGTTTATCGGGGATTGGATGCCTGGATTTCTTGGATGCTGGCAAAGGACGGATTCGGTTCTGTACCAGAATCGCTTCTTATTTTTGTTGAGTTTCCAGTGACCACGTTAGCTGATCAAGATCGATGGCTGAATCGTTGCTTGAAAGAGTTACATTTACAAGGTCTCTCTATTTTTGATGCTTTAAGTTAATACCCATATAGATCTTTAGACGGGATATGTAGATGAGGTTATTTCATGGCTGTGCATAGAGGAGGGTGCTGCTCATGGTTCGTTACGTTAGAGTAGTTATTTGAATCTTATTAGTCAGATTATGACGGTAATACTATCGCTATTGTAGGATTTGTTTTTGGTCGAACTATATGAAGGACTAGTCTAGTTTTAGTTTTAGATGTAGTATAGATTAGTCGTTAGTCTATATTAAGCTATTAGGTTGCTATAAAGCTTAATTAGCTTATACCTGATAATGATTAATTATATAATTAAGTAAATTAACGTTAATAAAGAAATGTGTTATTAATTCAAAAAAAAAAAAAGCTTATCATAATATAGATAGATGAAAATAAATTTACATTTGGAAACTTTTTTACGTGAAATCACGTGACTTCAAAATAAAACATCTATTAATAACCTTAATTAAAACAAAACTTCTCGTTTCTCACAAATCCTCCATTATTTTATCTTTTGGACTATTCTGTAATATTTTTTTTCACTTTCATTAACCAAATCTTTATTCCGATTTTCATCCTTAAGGCTCGAATGTTTTGTTACACGTAGTATAAATTGATTTCGTTACATTGTACTCTTACCAAAATATTGTTGTTATAAATTTGTGGTAACGATATTACAATACAGTGTACTTTTTGGTAATTTAGAATACACATAAAAAACATGTAAATCGAAGCTATTATGCACTTAACAGTAGATTATAAAATGAAAAAAAAAATGTTAAGTAGATACACCGCCTTCTTTTTAGTCTTCTTGGCCTTCTGTGGAGTTGTTTCGACTTCGGATTTGTATACATTCTCATTTATTATGGACTTGTTCACCGACTTGAACATCTTTTAAAACATCTTTCTGTAAAAATAAACCAAGCACCATCAGTATCTTACCAGGGCTATATGAATATTCATCAATTTGTTACTTGGGAGTCCATGAGAATTTTTATATCCAAAGCGAATTATTCCATATCGTTAAATTCACAAATTCATCATAGAAGTAAACCGATAAGAGGGGTCGAAACCATTGGAGTGTATTATAAACATAGTTAATAAAAGTAACATTCAATATTAAAATTTTTTTTGTATTACATAAAATATAAAGTAATATATGTATCTGAGACCGGAATTATTCCGAAAACCAGAATTTGTACTGAAATACATTATTTACCACGTGCGTTTCTTGAATTTAACCATACTAAATCCATATTATATCGTTGATCTTTATTACAACCACAATTTAGACAGAAATAATTTGATGTTGGTGCATTGATTCCTAAAACTAGTGCCACGAATTTCCAATCACCCGAAAAAAACAATTCAACCGGCCAAATTGTGTTATTTGAAGCTTTATATCCATTTATTTTAATTGTTAAAGTTCCTGCGAAAATTTGGCCCAAACTGTAGATTTATATTGCGAAGTATTATAACGGGTTTACTAATTATTTGTGAAAATTGTGAAATAATTTTAGGAATAAATGAAAAAAATTCAAAATTTATTATTCGAATTCAATAATAATTTTAGTAATAGAAGGAAGATAAATAGCGACTATTACTTAGAATTATTATTTATAGAAAATTTTTTAGAATATAACGAGATTAGGATCATAGATAGTAACGAAAAAAAATATAGATTAATAAAAGAGTTAAGGAATAAAGCAAGAGATATGTTAAAGGATAAAAACTCAAGTCAAACGATAAAATATAATTTTGAATTACAGAAGTTGGAGAAAAAAAGTTACGAACGCAATTTGGAAAAACGAAATACTTAACAGCGAAAAGTTAAACGATTTATTTATGTACAATTACAAAAAAGAATTCGATTGGCTACTTTAGAATTTGTGAGTAATAGAATTAACTTTTCACAAAGATAATGTAGTAATAAGGATACGAAAGAAAGATCATACAGAATCAAAAATTTATTGAAAGAATAACCGACCTATAAAATTTTATTTTAAAGAAATACTAATAAAATAGAAGATGACAGATGTATAAGATGTGGGAAAAATGAAATTGAAAGTTGGGAACACATCTGGATCTGCGAAGACAACGAATTCTCGATCGATGAAATTGTACAAGGGTCGATATATCGTTTTGAACAACAATTAAAGACCTGTAACCAAGAGGAAGATATAAGTATTCTGAGGAATTTCAATATCGAATTTATAAGTATATTAGAAAGTCCTTCGATAATCTTGAGAGGAAAAAGTAGAAAATGGGAATTAGAGGCGTATATAACGAACATTTCAATAGTCTGTCAAAAAAGAAAGAAGAGAAAATGTTGATAAAAAGACTTTGGATATTTATTTATGATGAAATTAAAAATCGTTTATCGATACCAAGATGCGAGGAAATTAAACGATTAGAAGAAAAAGCCAATATTCAAAAATTAGATTTAAAGAAAACCCGGAGGAAGGTACGGATGAAAAAATTAAAAATAATAGAAAAAGAATAAAAATTAGAAAAAGCAAATAAAAATAAATTTAATAAAAAAATTAGTGTAGTAACGTTAGAAAGATTAACAGGTTCAATTATGGACGGGAATAATATAGCAAAAACTTGGGATACAACGGTAAAAATGACAAATTATTTAGATTAGACATCACTTAGCATAGTTTTAGTAATAGATTTTTGTTCGAATATTACTTAGTTATAGGGTTTTGAGAAATTTTATTTCGAAAAGCTCTAAGTATTTTAATAATTAATTATGTAATTTGAATCAAATTTAAATAATTAATAAAATGCGTTACTATTTAAAAAGAAAAAAAAAAACTTTCCTGTTTAATTTATTACTACGTTTGTATATAATTACAGTATGTTTAATTTATAAAAGTTACGTTTTATAACTATACTTATAATCTGCAAAAAGGCTTCTTTCCTTTTTCTGAATCGTATCTAAAATTAATAATAAACAGAAATAAGTATAGAGTCTCAAATTCTTCTGGCTAACTTTTATTCTAAAATCAAGAATGATAAAAATCAAAATTAACTCTTAGGTTCAAAATTGCTATCAAAAAAAAAGTAATGTTAGGAGAACTGATCTGAGATATAAATAAAACCGCTTTTAAAATAAATGTTAACTGACCGAACTATCTATATCACTGATTATTTTGAAGATAAAAAGATAAAAGTGAAATTTATTCATTTGCTCAAAGCTAAGACAATTTTTAAAATAAATAATAACTACATAAAAACTCAATTAATATGGCAAGTTATAAAAAAAGTTCATTTTAAAATTTAACATAATATTTTTTTAAAAAGTTATAAATCAAACACCATTCACGAAAACAAAAGACAACGTTAATAACAAAAATTACCATGTTATAATATTTATAATCATACTTCTAATTTATATATTTTATAATTTAACATAACGTTAATATATCAATCGCAAAAGTATAGTTCCCCCTTCACTTCTGAAAATCAAAAAATTATGTAGCTTATTCCAATAATCGCTATTATTCCATTGTTTCTATTAAAAATTTGAACGTATAATTCATTAAAAAGTTGTTTATGTAAAACCAAATGATAAAAACGTAATTTAAACCATAAAATATATTTAGTCATCATTATCATCATCTGTTAATAATAAAACATTACATTATTATTTTACATCATAAAATTAATATCTTAAATATAAAGTAGATTATATTTACCTTCTGACTTTGATGTGCAAGGAACCTCTAAGTTAATTAATTGAGAATCTTGACAACCTATTAAATTAAATAAAGTTTTAATTATTTAATAAAATTTAAAAAATATAATATAGTAAAATGCAATACCTTCATTATCTTCTTCATTAAGATATGTAGTAGCAATAAAAGATGAATTAATGGGTTTTGACACATTACTGAGTGTAAATGCTCTACTAGTATAAATAGCATCAGGTTTCTTTTCATATGAGGTTGAAATATTTGGTATTTCTTTATCAGCTTCTTCAAATACAGCTTTAACTTCTTCTTTTTTATATCCATATTTTTCATCTTCATCTAAATCCCTAAGATAATTATCCCAACAATCTAATATGTTAAATAATTCATTGGCTGTCGGCCTTTGATTTGGATTAGCATTCATACATCTATAAGCTAATTTCTTATAAATTTCAGGAGTTCCTTTTCCAAATTCTGGTCTGAGTCCATTACATATTTCTAATGCTAAGCTATTATCATGATTTCTTTTATAAAAAGGAGGTTTTCCAGATGATAATTCAGCCATAACTACACCAAAACTATAAATATCTGAAGATAATGTATATGGTTCTCCATTTAAAACTTCTGGAGCAATATATGGCAAAACACCAACTATTTTATTACTATCTGATGATTTCTGTTCATTTGATGGTCTAGATAATCCAAAATCTGAAATATAAGAACCATTACTAGTATTTAATATATTTCCACTATGAAAATCTTTATGAAAATATCCTAATTCATGTAAATTACTAAGGTCCCTTGCTGTTAAGTATAAATAGGTCACTTTTTTATTCCATAAAATTTTGTTAAAATTGCTTGAAAGAACATTTCTCAAATTTCCATCATCTGCATATTGCATAACCATCATAATTTCTTCAGTTTCTGGATCTTTAGTTATTCCATAAAATTTTAAAGAATCTTCTTGTAAGCAATTTAATTTCCAATGTGTTTTAAGCTATTGTACAATTAAAATAAATTAAATAAATTTTAATATTTTTTTAAAATTAAAATAAAAAAAATACCTCATTTAAAAAATCAGCTGACATATTCTGCGATCCATTTAGCCTTTTCAAGGCAACTTTCATGGATTCAGGTTCTTTTTTTATCCAATTTCCATCATCTTTAATGTATTTTGCTATACCATCAATCCAAGTTGCAGAATACACTTTTGCAAATCCACCTTCACCTATTTGTTTCATATCTTCAAATCTATCAAATGGAACCCATTCGAGAAATGATGGGACATATTCATCACCAATATATTTCAAACGTACACTATAAATCGAATCCTTGATAAGATTATCAATATCATCATTTCCACTGGTCCATCCTTCAATTATGCAACGAGGAACACATTCTTTACACCAACATTTTCTGGGTGGATTATAACAATTTTCATGATTAATTTTTGATGAATTTGGATTTTTATCAGAAATATTTAATTCATTAAATTCAGTTACTATTTCATTAATAAAATTCATTTTTAAATTTATGTTTTGTTAGTATTTTGCTTCAAATTTGCGAAACGTAAAAAAAAAAAATTTGGCGTTACTTTTATATTTATATTCAATGAAGATAAAAAAGGAATTATTTCAACCAAAATTGTCATTGACATAATTGTGATACATCACAGTATCACAATCAACACAAATGTCCGGCGGATGTCCGTCTGACACGTGACGAAGTACAACAATAAAACTTTTAAACAGCACTTCGGACTTAATAACGGTTTCCGTTTCCTAGATCATTCCAATAGTTAAATTTTATTAAAAGTCTACTAATTTTGTTGATAAGTGAAATGTAGCACTAAAAAATTTGTTATTTGAATATTAAGTTATATCTTAATTTGCTTTCCTATATTTAAATTAATAAATGCTACAAAATCTTTTTAAATGTAGGAAATAAGGGTAACATTCATTATTTATTATACTTATTACACTTAATGTACTGTACATAAAAACCAATAAGAAACAACTTCTTTTTAAAATATTTAATGTGATACTTCTAATTTTATATTGTATTTATTATTAAAGTTTGAACGATTATTATATCCGTATTTTTTCCTAATAGAAAAGGAAAAGCAAGAAATTATTTAAAAACTATAAAATTTATTACGTATATATTTAATTTTATATTAACATTTTTTATTATTTATATTAATACATTAAAATAAATAAGTTTATCTGATGAATAATAAAATTGAATAATATAATCATAATTAAGAGATTCTTTCATTTCTTTGAAAAAAAATTTCATCACAAAAGAGTTTGATAAGAAAAAAAAAAAATTTTTTTGAAAATAATCACGTTATGGTTGTTGATTGACAAGAAGTTACACAAGAAACTTATGATTTATATAATTATGTAATTGAGTTATTTTATTTCGACACAGATCAATATACATTGTAATGCCGTAATATACCTAAATTTATTAAGAATTAGTGTATAAAAATTTAGTATTTTAAAATTGAATGACGTTATAAATGTAACGTCCGAGATGACGTTAAACTTAATTGAATAATTGAGTCAAGTGATTAGGCTGCGGATTATGATGAAAGGGTTAATGATTCGTATCACCTTATGCCATGAAGATCATTTTATCGATGATGTCAAATAGAGGATCATGAGTAATGAATAAGGAACCAATGAAAATGAAGCATTAGAAAAAGCATAAAAAGGGTACGGATTGACTTAATAAAAATAAGTTACGAATTTTGAAGAATGGTTAAGTATTACAATTTACCCTTAGAATAGTAATAATTCGATTCTTTTAGCATTTTTCTTATGATGAAAAATTGCCACATTAATTAAATTAATGGAATTAAAGGTTACTAATATGGGGAAACTATCGCAGTTTGAAATTTTGACATAAATATTTAATTATCAAGCACATTATTGTATTTATTTATATTATTAATAAAGTATTATTTTGTCAATATGAAAATGGGTATGTCGATTCTTACCTTATATGTTTAAGACATATCAATTTTCTGATCTGTCCTATACTGATACCCTTTCATTTGACCTGTGGTAATATTACTCCTATTGAAAGAATAAGAATGGCAATGACTGGTTTTTTCTTCTTACACCTTTGGCAATTCCATATTAAGATGCTTGCACAAAGACATCCTGATTTTATTATGATAAACCAGAATTTTTTGGCTGACCAAACATTTTCATTACTTACTTCTCTTTGTCAATCAATGGTTTTATTAGTCAAGGCCCATCATGAATATTATTCTCAAATACCTTTAATTCCTTGGATGCATGGTACTGAACCTTGTGAGCATTTTTTTGGTGTAGCAAGACAAATAAATCCTGATTTTAGCTTTGCAGAAATCATCCAAATGCTACCAAAAATATCACAATATACAAAGGCACTTAGAAATAAGAAACTAAATTTTGAAAAAGGAAAGGTATTTTTGACTTAAAAAATATTTTACTAAATAATTGTATATAAAAATTTCTAACTAAATTGGGTATTAAATTTTTTACTTGTAGGCTATAATTTTAATTATAATTCTGGCTCTTTAGATGAACTATCAATGCAAAAACTTCAACTTTGGCCATCAGATAAACAAATGTCACAAACTTTTTGTCATTCACAACATTTAGCAAGAGAACTTGCTGAATTTCTTGGAATGATTCACCATCTACTTTATTAATCAATAACAATACTCCTACAATTTTTATTGATATTAATGATGAAGAAAATTTACATGACAATGATGAAAGTGAACTATCTGACGACTGTGAAATTGATTTATCCACAGCAATTAACAAAGCCTCTTCCGAAATACAAAAAATTAATGAACAATTAGAAGAAAACCTTGAAAATGAAGAGAAATTTAATGACTGTTATTCTCAAATTCAATTACTTGATAAAATGACTGTTATGTCAATTTAAATGGTGGTGATAGTGGTAAGTTTATTTCTAAAATTTAATTTTTATTATAGCAGTCCTGTATTTAATATTTTATTATACTGATTATTCTTTAATTAATAGTTAACAATGAATTCAAATATTTTATTAATAATGATTTGAATTTTGAATCACTAATTAATCAAAGAAAATTACATGAAGCATATTGCTCAAAACCTCTTGAAAGAAGATTCAAGCCTGTAGGATCAAATTTAAATTCATCTAACAATATTTCTATTCAACCAAATAAAGCAAGTCACTTCATGGCTTATTTTACAAAAAATGAAAACCTGGAACAGAGATTTGTCACATAAAGAGGAAAAAGATGGAAAGATAATAGAAAAAATCTGGCTCTTACACTTGCACAATTACATATGGAAGAATTAGAAAAATCAAGAAAGAAAAAAATGATCAATAAAAGAAAAGCTCATATTAGTACAATTCAAAGTGAGTGTTAAATGCATAAAATTGTTATTACTAATTATAATAATTATTTGTAAACTTATAAGTTCCAAATATTGAGGATGTAAACATAACTCGTGAATTTCCGTTGGTAAAGGGTCATTATGTGTTTGTAAGATATGGTGATAAAATGTGCATAGGACATGTTATATCAGTTTATTTTGAAGCATATGGAAAGCATTGTTATACAGATGAACCAGTTGAAGCTATTAATGATATTTCCTATATTTCATTACATGTATATATCCCATTCATTTTAATGTTATTAGTGATTTAGTTAAAGAAGGGTGTAATATTTTAACACATCATATACCATCAAACATAGTTTATCATATTTCAGAAACAAAAGTTTTAATTGATAGTAATATGCTAAAGTTAGTAGGGGACGAAAAGAAATATTATGATGAATATTTTGGTCGGGATGATATTATTGAAAAAATGAAGAAATATTAAATTGTTATCACAAAAAACAATAAAATGGCAATTGGAAATGATCATCATATGATTTTCATACTAAAAAAATTTTTTATAAGTCATATGATTGGATTGCTTATTTTTAGGCAATTCGTGAAGTCGCATGTTGAATTTGCTTATTTGTATTAATAAAACCCTTGCGTAGAGCTATTATAAAAATTTTGACCTTTCTTGTTACCTATATATATATTGCTTAGGGTCCTTGATAGATCATATTTTTTGAGAAGGAACCTTTTCATTTTTGGAGTTCCAAAGCACAATTCATCATCATCATCATTATCATTATAGTTACTAGTTTTGCTAAATATTGATTTTGATGAATTAAAATCAAAGTCAAGTTCCATTAGTTGTATTGCATGATAAATATTATCATTATTTTCACCATCTTTTGAATAGTATCCCATATACAGCCCAGATATATACACCTTTGTATTGCCATTTTTAATGGTTTGGAGTGTTTTAGTCCAATGGTTTGAATTTTCATCATAATATAAGTAAAAGTTATGGTTATACTTAGATTTATCATATGAGCAAAATATATTATTACATTGATGTTTAATAATATTATGATGGTTATGGGTTTGTAAGGGGCTTGAATTAAGGTGAACTGAAGCAGTAATGTAGGGATGGAAAATAGGTATTGTTTCACAAGTCCAGGGATTGGGATTTGGTATCAATATTGCTTGGTTTACTGAGAGCTTAAATCAATAAAAAAAATTTTTAAATTATTATACGATTCATTGTATTATTATTTAATTAATAATTTATAAAATTATAAACATAGGATTACTATCACTATGACTCTTTCTATATGTAAACTTTCCACTAAGCATCACCAAGTTACCCTTTTGAAAGTCATGAATATCATTATTAGACCCGCTGAACAATTTAAAGTCAAAATTTTTGTATTTATTATTATTTAGTCTATACAATGCAGTACCATTTACTATATAACTCTTTGTGGAATGTGGATGTTATGCCAGTTATCAATGCTAATACTGACATTGAATTACTGAATTTGAGATTAGTTAATTTCAGAAAATTAGTAATTTAGTAATATACTACTATACATAGTCCTTTTAGTTAAAATAAAAAATTTTTCCTTTAATTTATTTCATTAATTTTATAGTAACGTTAGTTAATTTGCATTAATATCAATAAAATTTGCAAACAATTTGCATTGGTATTGATTGTTAACTCATGATAATATTATGTGCAAATGATATTATAAATTTCATTATTTTATTTATTTGTATTATTTATTTCATGGGGAGTTGGTTTTTTTCACTTCCAAATAATTCAAATTATATTTTAATTATGGTGCCGGAACTCTATACTCAAAAATAAAATTGGGATACTTATAAATCTTTCAACACTTTAATAAAATAAAATTTCAAAGAAATAAACCGGTAACTTTGTTCTACAAGACAAGTACTATTAAATTACCGGTCAGATTTTCAAAAAAATATCTACATAAAAAGTTATAAGCATTTGAAATTTGATTATTTTTATATGATTGCCCCAAATTTGAAACAAAAAAGTCACATAGATGCATTTATTTTATGAGAATTTACATAATTCGTATTGACATTAAATTATTTTAAGGCTTAAAATGGCTTAAAACGTTCTTAATTTACTTAAAAGCTCAAAAAGGCTAAATTCAACCTCATATTGGCTTAATTCTTCTTAAATAAATACTACTTTCTGCTTTATTCTTTAACCGATTTCCTTTTTTGTACATGCTCGTATCCATTTTTTCTATTTTTTGTCCAAAATTATGAGTTTTTATTGGCTATTGTGCTTCTCACGTCATAAATTAAACATTTGAAACATTTTTGAGTATAAAGTTCTGGCACCATATATTGATATATTGGATAAATTAAGACCCAATACTGTGCCGCCGTATTTTTAAAATTATTTGTTTAATTAGAAATTTATAATATTTATATAATTTTTTTTTTTTAAAAAAAAAAAAAAACTTTGGGATTTTGACCTTTAACTGTCAGGATTTGTGACTATCGGGATTTTGTTTCAACCGGGATTTGGGTTTATCGGGATTGTCAATATTATTGTTATTGGGAATTTGTGGTAAACCTGCTACATAACCATAATTAATTGTATTATATCCTTCAAGAATTTCGTTACTATCTTTCACTTTAACAATCGTTATCGTGCAGGATTTATTATCGCAAATTTAGGTCAAAGTCCATCGTGAGATCTACAAAATAACAATTTAAATTTATAAGAACTCAGCTTGTCCGTAATTTCTAATCTATCAATCCATTTTGAAATTAATTCAACATGTTGATGAGTTATAATTTTTGGCCCACTATTCTTTTGATCCAAATAGTAGTAAACGAAGTGACAAACCAAAATCTTATATAACTAAAGACTCAAAAGATCTCTTAGTAATTCTTTATAGAAATCTTCTGGGAATATTTTTTTCATAAGGGAATACTTTTTCTAAAAATTCTTTAGAAGTTAAGTTGTGGAATTTAATAAATGAAATAAATCATTGTAAGGTATTCTTTAAATTATTAGAGAATAGTTTGCAAAATCAGAAGGAAGATCCAGATTTTAAGCGAGTCCCCACTTAAGAACATATTCCCATATCAATTTAATTTTACCTTATTTTAATATTCCCAACTCAAACAACATCAGTAACATAATGATTTGTTTACTTCCAATAAAAAGAGTATATCCGCCTTCCTTAAATTATTTTTATTAATATATTTGCATAACGTGTATTTACTACCGTTTAAATTAATAAAAGTGTTTCTTTTCTTATTTAATGATCATGTTAAGATTTAGTATTATTGGTTTAATTACTATTAATACTGAGTTATTTTTATAATCAAACTTAATTCCTAATCGAAGGATTAAGCTTAATAAGACCGCTAACTTCTGACCCAGTGATGAACAATCAGTCACAGATAAAAAAAATAAACTTATTTTAAATTGGTCGTAATTTTTTATTTCCATGATAATTGGAGGAGTAGTTTCTTTCGTATAATGCTCATACGACGTAATGAAAATATGTTTACATAACACAAGAAACGAGAATGCCACTTGTTATTACAAATCTTTTCGATAAAGATCCAGTATATTTTTGGTTTTACAAAGTGAAATGGCGTTTCTATACTAATGCCTACAGATCACACCAGCATTTCATTCATCAAAACTATCTATACTAACACATTATCTTAACGATAATTTATGATCCGGTTTCATTTGTCCCAATCATCAATATTCCAGGTAGAAAAATTGGTCGTCAGTTATGCAGAGTCAGAAATAAATTAAAAACAACATTGACCTTAGTAAAACTCTTCGAAAGTTTATGTTTTCCGCTTAATAAGTTCCTCGAAATTTCTAAACAAAAAAAAAAATAGGTATTAGCTTTGCAAGTCTGAAGTCGTTCCCAAAAAAATATTTTTTTTATTCATATAAATATTCATTTCACAGTTGCGTAATGTCTTATCCAGACTTGAATAATTCTTAATCAACTCTCTTTTCAATTGTGACAAAATGAGTTCATATCGTTTTAGGCAAATGTAAGAAATCTCACATCGCACAGTTACCGCGCTTTATTTATTTTTTCTGGTCCATGTTGCACATAAATACTTAACCTTTTAATGAGTAATAATCATACGACTGAAATAAAATCGGATCAAAAAATTCTATTTTGTTATAGTTTAAGTCCAGTTATTAAAGTTAATTAACTACTGTCCAGTCAAAGCAAATACAGTAATCAAAAACACCATAATAAATATAATTTTTCATAATATACTATAAATAAGATACATCTTAAATTTTTTATTTTTCAGTTATTTCTGGTATGGATTATTTTCAGAAAAACTGCCCATGCAAATGGCGATATGTAAGATACTACAAATATCAACTGGCTTACCAGGAGGATTTCAGAATATCCTTTACGGAAGAATCTCGTCAACTTGAAGACTTAATACTCTCGACAATAAAAATGATAGTTAGAACTTAGAAGGTTATTAAATGGTATCAAGCATGTAAAATTTTTTATTTACTGTACTTTCACAAATCTTATGATAACTTCAGATGGAGCTTAACTATTACAATATAAAAGTTCTTTGAAACAAAAAATGATTGTCAATGGAAAAATTTTTCTCATCAAAATTCTTGCAAAATAGTTGTCTGTTGATTCTGAAGCTGGAATCGACTATGTTTCTTACAATAGTTAAAGAATTTGCAATGTCTAACAAAGACACTCAGTAGTATTATAGCATTGTCAATAGTGCCAGTAAAACTAAAGGATCTGATGGGTTTAGCTTGCAGTAGTTATTTTTAGCATTTCGCGAAAAGTTCCTTCCATATTTTGCTCTTTGCTTTGATTTGACATTACCTCTTTTTTTTTGAAAAGGATCATTGAATTAATTTTATAGAGGTAGATGAATCTGGACGATGCTAGAGATATAACTGACGTTAAAAGAAGCTTGTGTAATAACAAACACCATCCAACACTCTTCGTGTCATGATTCTCAACAGAAATCTCAAGATGATAATAATGAAGACTACCCTCAACGTAATATGAAAAAGACATTTCTTCAGGATTATCACGAAGCGCAGCAAAAAGGAGAAAATCCCTCCATCCGTTTTTAAAGAAAACTGAATAGTGATAGTATAAATGTTGTAGATTTACATTTCTGAAACACATTTCTAAACACACAATATTTTAATAAAAGAATTCACAAGAATGTGTTTCCGCTTTATTATTAAAATTTGAGAAATCACTTTCCGATATAGCAATTATTATGCAATAAAGTAAATGCAATTAGTGAATGCTACAGTATATATAAAATGAAATTTTTTTTTATTTTTCTCAAAATCACGTACATTATTAAATTAATAACCTTTGAACCTTTATTGATTTTTCAAATTTAAAAGTAATGGAAACGCTGGAGAAGAAAATGAGATGGAAGTACTTTGATTACAAAAAACAATTTTATTTTATTAATAAATCGGTTTGGTAAATACCAAAACCGAAACTAATCATCAGACTAACCGGAGATCTATTTCGATGTTGTTAAATGGTTTGAATTTAACTTCATCACCTTTGTGGATATTTTTATTTCTAAATGTGAATTACAATCTCATATTCTCTGTCCAACATATTGGTAAAAATATTATTACTACATAAACTTTTTAGTTCGCAAAGAAATGCAGGAAACTTACAGTAAAATCTCGATCACTTTTTTATTGCATTATCAGAAAGCTGAGTAAAATATTCACTATCTCCCTCATTATTATACTCTTCTAAACTTTATATGAGCTTCTTCAGTCTATAGATAAATCACCATTAAAATACAGAATTTATGAATTAAGCACTTGAGATTATAACAGTAGTTCGTCTTTCATTACGCAAGTCACGGCA